GGGCTAGATATACAGGTATATACATCTGCTCCCTGCCAGCCTTGTGCCTGCCAGTACCACAGTTGCACCTTATACTGTATGTCTGTGCTTATGTCCACCCTCCTCTTTGATTCTATAAAGTCATGTAAACACACAGTGATTTCCTTCTGTAGCCTTACTCTTACGTTAAGGTTGATTGTTGACATGAATAGGCAGATCCTGAAATGGTGAATCAAGTGCTGCTCTTAGGAAAGAGTTAACATACTTCCAACCTAGAAAATGTCAGCCGGGATAGTATTTGTTATATGTGCAGTATACAGTTAGTATTTTTCTTCACGTATTGAATTTTTACATGCAGAATTTCCTTTTTGGACTTCCGTATATGTAAACAACTATAGGTTTTCTAAACTCTCTTGTATATTTAGGCTTCACTAATACCCTTGTATTCTAAAAGAAGTTACTGTAGTGAGATGGGACTTGAGGCCAAGTTTTAAAACAATGTAACTGTCCCATGTCTGAAAGGAGATACAGACATGAAACTGAAACCATGATTATTTATATTTTTATTTTAAGGTAATGATGTTGGGAGAAGTTCATATGGTGCCATGCAAGTGAAACAGGCCTTTGATTATGCCTATGTTGTTTTGAGCCATGCAGTTTCCCCAATAGCTAAATATTATCCCAACAACGAAACTGAAAGGTAAATTTTTTGAGTCTAAATCTCAGACATTAATTGCTTGTATTTTGGGTACCTAAAATTAATTGTGTGGGGTATTTCTCTTTTTTTTTTCTTTTCCTGGTTTACAGTATATTAGGTAGAATAATTAGAGTAACACAAGAAGTGGCCACGTACAGAGACTGGATATCAAAACAGTGGGGAATGCAAAGTAGGACCGAGTCTTCATGTAACGGTAAGATTTGTCAAAGCTTGGCTGGTGGTGGGAAACTTCCTGCGTATTTTGATTATGTAAATTTTTTGCTGCTTTTGCTCCACGTGTATGCACCTTTAATATGAATTTGCTTTATTAGTGAAGAGGTGATGAACTTTCTTTTGTTTTCACCCAGAAAATTCAGTTTTGTACAAGAATAAAGAAGCTATCCCACAACATCTTTGTTCTGCTGTTGATGAATTTGTTCAGCATAGAGTCTGGACAGTCTGTAAAGTTACAGTCTGTATAGCGTGCTGGCTTACAAAGGAAGCTTTTGAAAAACTTTAAATTTAAATTACATGTGTTGTTACTGTTTCACTTCCTTGTCCCTTAAAATGTGGACAAGGTTTTAAAAAGGATCACTAGGGATGCTAGTTTAAATCTAAGTCCTTGCCTTGTGTTGGTATTTTTATTTCTTTTTAAAGTATTTGAAGTCTGTCTACAGAAGCAGTATTTAAGCCAGGACTGACCATATAAGTGGAATAAGTCTTAAGAGAAATACTAAAATACCAATCACAATTTTTACTACTGACAAATGGAAATACACTAAATCTATCCAGAGAACTTGCTGGGAACATCCTTTAAAATCATCTTTATTTTCATTGCCCGTCTTCTGACCCCACCCACAAGTTGCCACCCTGTTTTGGTGTAGGTGTATCTGCTGGCTGGAAATTTTCAAATTACAATTAATTTTAATACTCTACAGTTCATTTCAGAATGTTAGGTATTAGAAGTCTTCTCCTGTTAATACTGATCAAAGATAACAGATGTACCCCATCTTCAGGCTGGGTTGGGTTTTTGTTTATTTGCTTTTAAAGCTTTTGTTAGTGATTTCCCCCCGCTGTCCCTGCAAATACAATGTGTTCCTGGCCATATCTGTTTTATCAGTCTGTAGGCTTCTATGGCACAGCTGTACCACTCGGCAATGGCAGTTAACCACCATTCATTCATTCCTGCAAGCTCTGTAGCAGTACTTAGCTATCTATTGTGACATATATATTAAATTGTAAATAAATAAAGCTAGTGGTGAGATAAACATATATTACATAAATCTATCAGAAAGTCAATTCAAGGTGACAAAAAAAAAAAAGCTTTTTCTGCAGGTACTAGCTACTAGGAAAGAAGCAGAAGTGACTCCAAGGTGCCTTATGTGAGACAAAGCAGTCAGTTTAAAAATAAGAAACCCAAGATAGGAGGGTAATGATGGCATTACAGCGCTCATCTTGCAGGTTTAGTTTAGATTTAAGTTCTGATTCTTTTTATTTATTAAGACAGAAGTTAGTGAGATAGAAGTGTTCTGTATCTCATGTTTTCAGTTTAGGGTATCGTACAAACATACAATGAGAATTATTTACAGTTCTTATGACCCGAGCAACTCCAGTAGAAGACAGCTGGGAGCTGCAGAATTTTGGGCTCATAGGAACTGTATTTAAACCTGTATTTTTGAGAGCAGTTTAAGCACGTCATAAAACAATCTTATTTAAACAGCACATCTGAGCTCCGTTACTACTTTATTCCATGCCTTATTTCTAACTTCTGTCTTGAACTGTGTGTAATGCTTGATGGTTTTCATGGTATAGAATCACGGGTCTTGTTAGGAAATTACTGAGGCCTCTGCAGAGTTTTGGTTGCTGTACCCAGTACGTACAAACACATGTACAAATGTGCTTGTAGGTAATGGAAGTATGTATGTGCATAGGTGTCTGTACGTGTCCTGCATGGGTGTAATAGATACGTAGTACCCGAATGGGTGTGTATATTGGGAGGGAAAAAATATAGGGCAACATAAATTTTGTCAGTTAATGGGTGGTGATTCTTCTGTTTCATTTTTAATAGGTAATGGAGTAACCTTGATAGTAGATAATCAGCAGCTGGACAAATGCAACAATAATCTTGCTGAAGAGAACGAAGCACTGGGAAAACCTAGAAATAAAACTTCAGAAACACTTAGTAAACATTCTTCAAATTCTTCATCAGGTCCCTTATCATCGTCATCATCTACATTGTCCAGTTCTAGTGATGTAGTAAGTACTGGAGATTGTCTGCATTTTGCCTTTTCCAATTTACTTGTTTTCTTTACTTATATTGCTGCAAAAAGCTCAGAATCCTAGTTAATTATTTCATCCAGAATCCTAACTTGCATAAGATGTTACCTCTTATGCAATTTCTACACATGTAAATTGCAGTGTGTTTTTTAACACAAAACATGTAGGAAAGTGAATACAGTAGATGTAAAGCTTCATAGCCCTCCTTTCTCTGGGAAAACTGTATTTCAAAAAAAGACTGGTAGTCCTAAGCCATATGCTTAAAAAGTAATACAAAATGCCTTATTTAAAAAAAAAAAAAAAAAGCTTGAATGGGAATTCTGTTTTAAAAAAACAAATAAAAGATAGAGCCCCAAATCAGAATCATTTACCGATACATTTTTAAAACAGTTTGTTGACTCAGTAAGAATTCTGGATTGCAAGTTTTAATACTTAATAAACACCTTTCAAGTTTTGCCCATTGCTAGCTTTAATTTTAAGGGAAAACTCACTCACTTTATAGAAAGACTCACTTATTCTTAAGAAAAACTCACTAATACTTTAAATTTTCCTGAAGGATTCTGATGGAACACCTTGCAAAACCTCTAAACAATTGAGTTGTCGTCAGTCTACGACAAACAGAGTGGGGTCACAAGAAGTATCACTGGAATCCTCCCAGTCAAGTGGGAAAACACAAAATAGCCAAACAGCCAATACATCCAGCAACACGAACAAATCTCAGGTTTGTGAAATGTTTAAAAGCAACAACTGTGTAGATTATTGGAATATTACACATGCCCTCCATGGAAGGATAGTTTGTTCTGGAAAGAAAACAGCGTGTTTTTCTCTTCCTCTTTGCCCTACTAGAAAACTTTGAGCACTGAGTGTGTCTAAAAATTACCTGGTTCTCTGTTTAGGTTAGAGAGGTGAATTTATAATGGTGCTTTTCCTAGCCTTAAACAGACTAAATTGGAGTGACTTTGTTTGGGGAAATCTAGATTTGCCAGAAGTATGCACTTGTGTTGTCCAAGTTTCCTTTATGCAAAAATCATGTTGGTCTAGTCTTAACTGCTGAATTTGAGATCTAATGCGATTTGCATGCACTTTAACAAACAGCAGAAATGTATGTTTAAACTACAACAAGCTGTTGATCCTTGTTGAAATATCTTCTATTAAGGGAGATGGAGATACTTGCTGACATGAAATTCCTTTAATTTCCACTTAAATTCAAATGTCTTTATGAAGAGACCTGCCAGAGCTTATACTAGAGGGTTTCTCATGTTGAGAATACTTCTGTGACAACTCAGTAATCTGGAAATGCTGTATGCCTATATGTACAATATACCTCTGGATAGATGCAATTTACATTTTTACACTTTTTCAGAATTTATTTTTCATTCATTAGAAAAGTCCTAGTCTGGAATCTTCTAGAGTAATATTCCTGAAAAGTAATTCTGAAGACTTGCTGGTTCCTGTTTGCTGGTGATCTCTAGCTAGTAACAAGGAAGTTTAAAAAACAAAACAGGCCTTGGATATATACTACTAAATTCTGTTGCTGGAATGTGAATATGCACAATCTGAGATAACATGCCATCTGCAAAAAGATATGATATAAAATTAGTCTTGTTCTTAAAAGAGTGTTGTCTTAACTGGGCAGGGAAGATAGATTTGAGCAATCTTCATCTCTTCCTGGATTATGGACTTCTGTTTCTGTAAAACACTCTTGATGGCTGTGCAGTGGATGAGAGAAGAGTTCTATCATTTTCAAAATTCCAAGTGCTATATACTCGTCACTCTGCGTTTGCATGGCTTCGGGTCTAGAGATGAGCATTTTGTCGCAGACAACAAAATGAAAAATATGTGGTTCTGTGCTGCTGCCTAAGCAATGGCCTAGCTTCTTTTGCCATGTCAGGTTGTTTGTGTTAACATTGCTGTGAGTTATTAATGTCCTTTTTATATGGAAATGGGGTTGTATATTTGCCACACTTTCTCCTTACACCGACTTACCAGGCTCTCTTTATTTTTGCAGCATGGATCTGCACGGTTATTTCGCTCTTCTAACAAAGGCTTCCAAGGTCCAGCAAACTCAAGCCACGGTACCTCAGTCACAAACAAACAACATCAAGGCAGCAAATCACACCATCAGTACTTCCATGGCAAAAAGAGGAAACACAAGAGGGATGCGGCCCTTTCAGACCTTTGTAGATAGTTGCCTATTTTATGACTGTTCTTCTGTGTGCAATGATCTCATGCTACAGGATAGTTTGATAGTGACTCCTTGGATCTCTTCCGGAGCTTCAGACTGTTCAGACATTGATTAGCAACTGCATTTTTTTTCCCAGCTCGCCACGGAACGGATCATGAAGATTGATCACTGAAAAAAAAAAAAAAGAAAAAAAAGAAAAAAAAAAAGAAAAAAAGGAAAAAAAGAAAAAAAATTAAAAAGAGAAAAAATAAAAAAAATACGGAAAAAGGCTGCTCATTTGATAAGTCATATGCTACAACAGGGTCATTTAGGATATTAAAGCTTGAATGTAAAATAAATGTATTTCCCATCAGCTCATGCTGACCTGTAGGGGTAGTACTCAGTGTGTCTAGGGGGTGGTAACAAACAAATAAAAAATAGGAGAAAAGGCAAAAATTTGTATTTTGAGGGAAACCCAGCCTTTAAAGGTGAAAGTAATTTGTGCATGATTTTTTTTATTATTTTTGCATATACTTACCATTTTATTGTGTATATATAGATGACCATATAGGAAAACTGACATTTGTAATAGTGGATTTGTTAATACTTTTTACATAACATTACTGTTTAAATTGTAAACATAAATTTTTCTCAGGATTAGTTTGGAAAATAATCTGAATTGTCATCTTAACATCCATATAAAGAGACATTACTAGTTATATTGCTCAGAATTTCTTTTCTTGGCATTTAAGAGATTTAATAGAACATTTGATCTGCAAAAGCTGTTCCTCTGAAAGAAAGGTTTATAGTGGCAAATGAAATTTTTCATTTGTATAAAGTGTAGATGTACTTTGTGTAGACACTGAGCTTGTCATCTCGGAGAAGTAACCTTCACCTTGTTTTCTAGAGTGCCATCATTTCAGGCAATGGGGTTTTATAGTTGCACCTTCCTTCTCTTCCTTGCCTTAGTGGTCCCCCCCTCATTTTTTTTTTTCCTTTTTTCTTTTTTTTTTTTTTCCCCACTTTGGGGGGGTTGTTTGGTTGGTGTTGATGATTCTTTTTCTCCCCCTCCTTCTCCCCAGTTTAAAAAACAAAACCAAAACAACTCAGTTTGTTACAGATGTTTGCATTCCTGGGCTGCTTAAATCCCATGCCTCTTTGTTTGTGCCTTCCCTCCCATTTCCAGGTCGGTTTTTTTCTTTTATATTTCTGCTGACTCCTGTAGGAGATGATAACTGTTGAAGCTTTAAGTAAATTTTACAATTAAAGTATTTTTTCTCACTCCCCTCTAAGGCATTTTTATATTTACACTTAATAATTAAAAACAAAACAAAAAAACTTCAAATAATGAAATATATTTTATATTGCCTTAAAGACCCAAACCTTTCATATCTCATAGTCTTTCTTCGTTGATCTAGTTATCACTTCATTTAAACTCCACATTTGTCTGGTTTAGTCACATTTTAAGCCTAGGCTGCAGTAAGCTTGATGCCATGAATGCGAATCAAATGTGTAACTACAGGCATAGTTTGGAAAAGGGGTTGGGACACTTCAATGGTAAAATGTTAAGTGGCATTTACTTTCACATATTTCTTTAAAGAGGAAAGTCTGTACTTAGCATACGTGGCTGTATTTAATGCAGCTGTTCTGGAGATGATGCTTTTATAAAAAGTACTATTAGCTTTTAGAAACTTTTTTTTTTGTATACATTTGCAGAACTCTACAGACCAACTTGACCTTTACTGGGCACTAATGAGTGCAATGATTTTTAAAGTAAAATAATGCTAAAATAAGACCAGAACTGATGTCATCACTTAAATTAATAAACATTTTCAATGTGTTAAAGTGTTTTACTTCAAAAAGGAAAATATATATATATATTATTCCAGAAATGTTGAAAGTCATAACAGTTACTCAAACACTAAGCTTAAGTGATGTTAATTTGACAATATTTTAAAAATTTTTAGATTCATATTTTAATTTGAGATAATTTTATCAACACGATGTTGACCTTTTGTTCATAGAAACTAGTAAAAGTTATACCACATTATGCATAATCACAGTATTTATTTTGTTTTAGATTATTGTGAATGTGTAGACTTAAGTTCACCGCTTAGGGAACAATTATTTATAAATTATATTAATCCAGTATTGTTAGCTGCTATTAGCAAAACTGTTCCAAAACTTAATACTTGCAAAGATCTGTATCGCATTTACCACACTGAAGTGTTTTTAAAAGAATCACCCTCATTGTTGAAAGCAAATGTACTCTTAGGGTGCAGATATTAGTGTTCCAATAAGCATGTGATAATTTTAAGGTGGTGGTAGCGGGAAGATAATCTTGATTCCATTGGGAATCTTAGGTTTGCCTCAATTTATGGTTTTCATAAATTTAATGGAAAATAGCTTTTCCTGGACTGCTCAAGTTTCTTTTTGGTAAACAGTATCTTTCTAAAAGAAGAAAAAAAAAGCATGAAGGAAGAATTGAGGTATTTTACATTGCCTCAAATGACCAGCATTGTATTCATAAAATACTGTATATCTTGCAAATCTTTATTTAAACAGAACAGTTGAACTGTTCGTTTTTCAATCTGAAGTAAAATACTTTCAAGACCTTTTAGTTTGCCTGCTCATTTGTCTTGTACATTTCATCTCTGTATTTGACTCAAGTCTAATTCCTTTTTGAGTTTCAATACTTTTGTGAAGATTTTGTGAATATATGAAAAATAAATGTTTAATCTAACTACTGTAGTTTATCACCATTCTTGACACTTACCCTGTTTTTCCCTTTGCAGTACTGGAAGGAGCAGAATAGTCAGACCACTTTGTAACTTTTGTAGTATCTGGGTGCTTCTCGCTGGGAGCCTCAAACTTCTGTTCAAGTAGGGCTGGTCTGTGGAGCTGAAGCAGAACCTGTGTTTCTGAGAATGAGAGAAATAATATATATGTATATTTTTAAGTATTATTTTTCTATAGCTTTCCTCTGCAGTATATGTAGGAACTTGTGCAGAGGTTGGTTTACTTTGGGCTCCAAACTTGTGTTGTATCTAGTGCTGCAGCTGTAGTGCAGCTGTCTTTCAGAAGTGGCACTGAGCAGGACACTGTGGAAATACGCAAGTTAATTTGGGTTACCTTTGGCTAGAAAGTTTGTTTAGCATAGTTCCTGAAGCAGGGTTGATTTTACTAATGTATGGCTTTGGTTATCTTCCTTGCATAGATCAGTAAGAAGACACATACATACTGACAGCTCTTACAGACTTGCTGCTGGTAGTTTAACACAGACCACCTAAAATTCTTAGACACACTTCCTGTTGAACATCAGATTGATTTATTACTTTTTTTTTTTTTTTTTTTTTTTTACATTTTTAAAGGATAGATCAAATAGTGTTTATACTTTAAAAGCTGTGTATTTATTATTTTTTATATTGTCAATCCTCTACCTTGTGGCAAAAAGGTGAACTGCAGGTAATTCTTTGTGACACACCATGATTCTGTTTATTGACCTCCATGTTCTGTGTGGCATCCTCGGAATTTACATCTCATGTTTTTAAATCTTAAATGAAGTTATTTTCCTAGAACTAAATTGTTAGAAAATAAGTTGTCCAATTGCTGGTGGCAACTTTTTCTTTCAAATTTATTTTCAAAATGGATCTTTTTCATTTCTGGACTCATCATGTATGCTTTCTAAATGCAATATATGAGAGAGTAATTAGAAAATAGTCTATCTTGAAAATGTTAAATAAAAGCAGCCAGCCATTTGACATCTTGATGGATGCTAAAGCTCGCGATAGATGTTAAGACTGCCAACTTTATTTCCTGAATAGTAAAAGCTGTAGGAGATTGCACATACTTTGCAAAGTATGCAATTACTCAAGAAAGGAGTATGTTTACCCACTCAGGGGTTGTAATATAATATACCTTTGATTATTCCAGCTACTGTTAAAGTGCGAAAACTAGTGATTACTTACTCTACTGATTCCTACAACTTGATTCTTTTGCTTAACAATGCAAAATGATTTTCTAGAATCAAGTTTGTCATGTCTTGAAATGGTGTTTCTTTGTCCTGAAAGTGCAAAATGTGAGAGCTTTATTTTCAATCTAATTTGTAGTGTTTGTGTAGTTTCTCAGAAGTGTTTTCCATTTGCAGTGATCTAAATGTTAGTCTTGACTCTATTTGCATGAGCCGTTTACCAGCAGTTCTGTCAGATATTCATGGATTCATGAATTGTAAAGCGTGTAGACCTGTGTGGTGTTGAACAAAGTCTGACAAACCATTGGTTCAGTTCTGTTGAGTGTCCAAAAAACAAACAAACAACAACAACAAAAAAAACCTACCACCCTTGTGCAGTGATATAAAACTACTTTTGCCTAGGTATGGAACAGTGTTTGACTCCTGAGCTGAAAGATCATTAAGCAATTAAAATCAGCTGATTAGCTATTAGGAAAACAACCAGTACTCTCAGCTGCATTTTTCCAGGTCTAAAGTTCATTTACTGCAACAGATATGGTGATAGCAAAATCTGAAAATAAACCTGGTTAGACTGTTCTTTTACGCAGCCTGACCATGTAGCACTACGGTATCTTCTCTGAACTTAATGTTCACATCTTAAAACACAAACGAATCTTAAAAACAAATCTAACTTGCTGGTATGTATACAACTGGTGGTTGCACCTAGAGTATGAAGAAATATTTTTGCCCCGATAACATTATGTGGTTTAGGTGAAATATGCATTAATGCTTGCTGTTTGTAAATCCCTAGTTCTGTGGCCTATTTCCAAACAAGACTTGTTCATTCTTACAGTAAGTAGGGGACTGACTAATGATGAGATGTGTGTTTTTTGGTTGTTTGTTTTTGTTTTGTTTTGTTTTTCCTCTTCACTACAGTGGATATTGAATCAAACTCATTTGTGGTTGCCTGGTAATCAGTAACTATGAAAAGACCATTCTCAGTCAGAAAAATCAATGACTGAACCAACAGCAGGTAGAAATCTTTCATATTTTCTTCCTTCAGTGCTAGCTTGTTTGCTTATTCTTTTCAAGATGTTTGACAATGCAAGGGAATAACTTAAAAGGTAATGTAACCTTTTCTGTAAGATTTCTATTTACATCAAGCAATGTCTTACTGAACCTATGTTATAATGTTATATTGTATCCATCAAGGTGACAGAAAGCAGTCTAATTCCTGAAAACTTCATGTACCTCAGAGCTGGAGTGTGTGCTGTCCAGTGAATGACTTCTGTGCAGTGTCTCAGCAACATACCCCAATTAAGAAAGGTAGTTTGAAGGTTTCTGTTTTGCGATGTTGCTTATACATCATTCTAGTTACTGAAGGTTATAGTAGCTTATTTGGTACTGCTGAGCTACCATCTGCACTCCTCATACATCCCAAATTCTAGAGAATCCCACTACTCTAAGAGTATAACTTAGAAAACTGTATATTTATACTTAAAAAAGAAATGTAACCAATGATAGCAGTGTTCAATTGCCAGTGGCTAAGAGCAGTGCCTTCTGTGGAGAAAGGAGCCATTGCAGTGATCGGCTGCCCTGGCACTCCCCCGGCGCATTCAGGCAGCCTTCGCCTCCTGGCAAAACAGGCCGTAGAGTGGACCCACCTTCCTAGGCAAAGTACTTGATTTAAATACACTTAACAATTAAGTATCTCTAAATTCTTGAGAGCAAAGTCACATGCTGCTCCATCAAAAACAGAACAAACTTAGAGTGCATGGGCAAATACAGATGTTGGGAAACCTAAAAGCTGAAACATTGATGTAAAAGGGAAAGAATTCAAACTTCTGCAGTTTCAGAGAGCACTGGTCTGAAAACCTTACTATGCATGGATAGTCTGATTTAAAACAAACAAACAGAACCCTAAATCTTCAAATGGTATTACTGCACTTTATTTCTACTGAGTAAAATAATATTTTACATTACAAAGGTGATTTTAGAGGGATATTTTTGAAGTAAAAACATTAACAATTCACAAAATAACGCTAGTTCTGTAGCTTCTCTATATTATGTACTTTTTCTAGTTATCAACACTATCAAATCTGTCCATGAAAAATACTGTACTTGAGTTGCGTGTATGAGTTTCTGTACGTGTACCTGTGGGAGAGCCTGAATATTCTAATATGGTTTAGTGTGGGAAAACTACAATTAGCAATTTTGATGAGCTGGTGCAATACTAAAAGGATATATATTAGAACTGATGTTTACTTTTCTGATGTCATTATTAGAAAGTTATTTTAATTTCTTGTTTCATGGCCTCCTTGATATCTTGATTTTATACATGTTTTCTGCCTTTGATGCATCTGGCCTGTATGAGAAATCACAGGTGTCCTTTTCTACTGCCTCTGGCTGGGATGTTAACTTTCCCTGCAGCAGCCCACACAGTGCTGTGCTCTGCACTTGTAGCTAGAGCTGCAGTGTTATCTCACCAGTGTTGTCTGCTGCTGAGCAGTGCTGGCACAGCATCGGGCCTCTCTCTACCCCTCCTAGGGAGTGGACAAAAAAGTGAGAAAGGGACATCACCAGGGCAGCTGGTATAAACCAACCAAAGGGATATTCCATGTCATGTGGTGTCACACTCATCAATAAAAGGTGGAAAAAGGAAGAAGAGGGGCGGGGTGGGCTCTCGTTGTGCATATCTCTGTCCTCCTGAACACTGGCTGTGTGTGTTGAAGCCCTGCTTCAAGGATGTGGTGAAGCATCACTCGTTTGTGGGAAGTAGAGAGTAATTTCTTTCCTCTGCACTTCCACACAGCCTTTACTTGTTTTGTTTTTCCTTTTTCCCCTCCCTTTTTTTTTCTCTTTAGTTAAATTGTTTAATTAATAATAATCTTTCCTTAATAATTATTTTTTTTCCTTTAGTTATATTATCCTTATCTCAACCTATGAGTTGTTCTTTCCTTTACTTCTTCCCCTGCCCTTCTAAGGAGGGGGAGTGAGAGAGCAGTTGTGGTGGAGTTCAGCTGCCTAGCATGGTAAAACCACCACACCTTTATCCTACCTGCCTGCTGGCATCAGTTAAGACTTGATTTAATGAGCAGGTAGATCACTATTAAAGAACAGTAATTATCCATTTTTGATATAATCAAAAATTTTTGATACAGTGGAACTCTGTAACAAACAGTAACAAACTAAAGCATTTCTCATCCTAATTCTTCTCAGCTTTAGGATAATAACTATATCGGTATGTTTGAACATGCCAACTACATGGAGGAAAAAACAGCCTTTTCCTCAGTATAAAGGAAAACAAAAGTATTAGAATACTTAAAGCTCTCTGTGCTAATATAAGGCTAGATCCTGAGGTAATATAAATCATTTTTGCTCCATTAGCTTCAATATAATGGAGCTATGTTGATTTAACCAGATGATTTTATCCACTTGTTTGTAATTGCTTTGTAACAGACTTTTTGTTTGTTTGTTTCAGTACATCCGTGTTTTCTAGTGGATTCTCCAGGAACTTCGTTGTAGAATTTATGTAGAAGCATTTTCCCTAATAATACACATGGTCTCTTTGTTCCTTCCTGATTTTTCCAAAGTATTTTTGGTTTCCAATATGCCCTTCTAGCTACTAATGTAAAGATATGGGAATTGCAAATTGAAAACAGCTCAACAGTTTCATCATTCACTGTGAAAATAAAACAATGTGTTCTTTTTTGTGTTCCTTAAATCAGTAACATCTTCCATTTTATTATAAAACCTACCTGCAGTGCTGCAGTCTCTAACAGAGAGATGTCCTCCTTTCATTTATGTTCTTCCCTTGTATAACTTAGCCAATTAGGGAAAAGAAAGAGTGACCACTCAATAAGATCATCATAATCATTTTTTAGTCAGTAACAGACTGGATCTTCTGTCACTCTGCACTGTTGTGGATAATTTGATTTCCAGAAGAAAATGTTAACATTTTAATACAGATCAACTTGAGTATACAGAAGCATTATAAAACAGGTCTGACCTCTTAGAGCAGTCCAAATCACAGCCACAAGCACAGGTAGAAGGTTTAAGCAGTCAGCCAGGCACTGATTTTAAGGCACAACACATCTTCCTGCTCTGCAGAAAAAATGTTAGATATGAGTGAGAGAGGAAATTGAAGTACTTTTCTGATTCTTAATTCAAGAAGTCAACAAAACCTCACAGCCAAGGCTTCAAAGCTGAAGAATATCTCATGGGGAGACTTGAACTCCTAAGTCCTTCAGTTCCTTTAGAAAACGGCATATTAGCTCCTCAGTCATATAGGTACTTTTTTGGGACTGTTGATGCTTTTCATAATTTCTTCTATTGTTTCACAGGTGCTGTGAGTTTGTATGGTTTTTAAAGTTTTATTTGGAGAAACTACTTTTGTAGAATTAAGTCCCACTGACTTTCATGAAATATGGAATGCTAGAAAATAAGATCTTGGTTCCAAGTCAGTTGGAATCTGGGAGACTTTTAACACAAGTAACAATTATGACAGGAGACCTGAGTAGCTTTTAATTTCCCTAAAGACACAGGTAATTCATATGGAATTGATTGCTTTATTTAAAGAAAAGCAGCAAATTATTCCCAACAGCTCCTTCAATTGATCTGAGAGATCAGAAAGGCAAACTACATAGTAGCAGTGAAACTCTTTCTTTTTATCATGGCTGATACATGATATCCTTTAAATGCAGATGATATCAATGTAACAGCTCAGAATAATTTCCCTTTCATTCCTTCCTAAGCATGTAGTGTCTAGCACGTTGTGATTGTTTCGTTATTAGACATCTTTGAACTCATAAATTTCCAGGAAATAACACATAATTTACTCAAACTATTTGTCTCATCATTCACTAAATTAAGACAAGACTGTCTTGGTCACTTTTTCTGGATATTTTATTAACTGCTAAAAGGCAGCATGATAAAACATAGTTTCCTAAAACAGGCTGTTTTCTGTGATGTTGCAGGATTTCAAAAGACTGTTAAAAATAAGTAGCTATATCTAAAAGTCTTTGTGCTAATTTTAAAAGTACATCTTAATATATTGTCCTTGTTAAGATCATAGAATCATAGAATAACCCAAGTTGGAAGGGACCCATAAGGATCATTGAGTCCAACTCCTGCAGATTATGCCTAAAAAAAAATACCCACAAAATATTCTCCTGCATAATAATTTTCAAATTAGTCTTAAGGATTTAGAAATATTTTCTGAAATTGTGACTACATTTCTGATTTGCCTTCTTTGTTTACTTATTTGCTCAGCAGCTATCTTTTGAGTATTAGCTGACTAATTTATGGGAGCCACTAGAAATCAAAATGTTGAAACACTTTGCAATTAAATGATAAAAAAGTAACTTACTGGGTCCAAAATCAACCCTTTTACTATTGTGAATAGTCCAAGCATGTGTATCCTGAAGGCAGGCTCACACAATGACTTAAGAATCCAATTTAACCCCACAAATTAGAATTATACTAAAAGAGTTCTACATTTTCTTTCATTTCTGTTGCTTTTAAAAAATAGTAATTTTTTTTTCCCTTCTTTTGTAATAGTTCATAGCACTGGGCATTATGACAATTTACCTTGAAGCATACATCCTCGTTGTACAAAGTAGACTTCTGTAATGCTCTATAATTCAATTTGTAAATGCTGCTGCACATAGACTCAATATAAATAACACATCAACAAGTAATTCATATACAAAATTGAAAAATAGTTTGACTTTTGTTATATTAGATTTTATCAGTCAATGTGTGGCATTTTATTTTAATAACAAATCTATATTTATTGATAGCTTATCAATTCAGTCCGGAAAGATTTGATTTGTGTGTTTAATACAAACATGTATGTTTTATATGTTCAATATGTACATATTGTAGAGCTGCTGGACTTTTCCTGAAAAAGTGCTTGCGAATAATAATGTCTGTTCATCTGAGAGTAACGTTTTCAGGGAAGCAAGTAAAATCATAGGGACTGCTATTTTCTAATTTGAACATTTTCAGGTGGACCTTCGATAAAGGGCTCTTATTTTCACAGTTTCAAACATCTACAGTTATCACGTACACACAGGCAATTTTAGACCAATATATAGGTGCAAAAAGATAAACTAATAAAAGTACAGGCTAGGTGCTATCACTCTCACCCGGGACAGTACCTTACACTTCTGGCAGCCGCAATGTCAGGCGCTCTCCAGTAAGGGGTGGTAGCATCTCCTCTGTGAAATTCAGCCGGCTGTACTCAACTGTGCGGCACTCGAGGGAAAAACTAGCTGCAGAAAAAGAAATGGGGAAGTCGATCCACAGCATCTGTAGGAGCCAACGAAATGTATCTTAATTTCTACGTTTCGCTTTTTATCCTTTTATATCTATTTTGCTAGAAATGTATTATGTTAGTTACTGATAGTTTAAGAGTAATATGCGCAACAGTGTACATCCAGCACTTAGTGTTTTGGAACCACTACCATTAAAAAATTACACTGTCAGTAGCACTGAATCATGCAGGAAATTTAGAACTTTGTCTGGAATAGCAAATATTTGTGGATATACAGAAATGATGTTAAGCAATCTGTGTACTCGGAAGGTCCACAAAATTCTGATGAAGTAAATGGAATCCATCTGTTCTGAAATCAGTCCATTTATGATCTCAGAAGAACAATGTATTTTCCATTTCCTGCATTTTTTTTAATCCCTGTTATCTATTCCAACATTCAGTGAAGACAAAGAATTCTTTTTAACAAGTGTTTTACTGGAAGATCTTTTTTTTTTTTTTTTTTTTTTTTTCCCCCCCCCCCCTAAGAAATGGTCCGAATAGCCTATGCACTGCTTCCATGTGAACGTGCTAATAATTTCCCAGTGCTTTTCAGATACGCAGTGGCCAAAACAGGAACGGGAAGACCCAGGTAAGATGAAGCATGTTGTACAAGACTGCCCATAAAAGTGTCACAGGACACAGAACAGAGGAGCAGAGTCCAGCCTGTTCGCTGCCCCGTCCTGTGCCTCAGGTATGACAACTGCTGCTTCTCCAGCTCTGTCGCTTACATGCTTGTCCCATTCAGCGAAAGCTAGATTTTTATTCCTCTCCAAGATTCCCAGTCCTAATAGCATCCTGAGTGCCTGGCAGTGTCAGAGAGCTGTTTGCCCACCACCATCAGACAGGAGCGAGGTGAACGCAGCTGTCCTGCCTGCGGTGACTGTGCTGAGCGGTGCTCGCTTGGAGGGGGTGAATTCAGGCACATAGACTCGGGCCTACAGAGAAATCGCCAGCTGGCTAGCAGTGCCCACGCCAAACCCACAGTATTTAGCTCCCATATTACGGCAGTACCGTCAGCCCCGGGGTCACAGCGTGCTGTTAGCATGCTCTGCCTCCTGCTTTGCCCTTCAGCAGAGCAGCTGAGGCGGGGGGCACGGGCACCTGCCCCACAGCGCCTAACGCCAACCTCTGTGCGGCTCGGCGTGCTCTGCCCCCCTCCACGAAGATCCAGAGCCTGCCACGGGCCTGGGCCCCCGGACAGCTTGTTGAGCCACGGGGACACGCTGAGGAGTCCCGGCCAGCCCTGCGGAGCCCAGCCACGAGCCCGTGAGAGGAGCGAGGCGCTCAGCAAGCTGCGGAACACGAAGCCGTCGCCGCCCTCCCCGCTGAGAGCCCTGCGGCTGTCCCAGCACGGAGCCCCCCGGGGCCCCGCGCCGAGCCCCCCGCCCGGCCGCCCCTCAGCGGCCGCCACCCGGAGGCGGGCGGGGCCCTGCCGCGTTCCGCCCTCCGCGGAGCCTCGCCGGGCCCCGCCGAAACCTCGGGCGGCGGCACCGGCCGGGGAGGAGGAGGAGGAGGAGGAGGAGGAAGAGCAGGAGGAGCGCCCGGTCCTGCCCCGCCGCCCGCTTCTCTTCCGGCGGCCTCAGGTGAGAGCTGGGCCGGGCGGGGGGAGCCGAAAGGTCCGGCCCCCGGTAACGCCGACAGAATGGGAACAGAGGCAGAGAGGGACGGGGGGAGAAAGGCTGAAAGAGCGAAACTTGCGGGTAACAGCGCCCCGCCGTGCGCCCTGGGGTTGCTCGGGAGCAGAGCCCCTGGGGCCCGCGGAGCTGTGCCCGGAGCGGGGCGCGGGGAGCCCGCAGGCAGGTGAGCGGGGCGAGGTGAGCGCACCCCCGGCTCTGCGCCCTGCCCGCCGTCCTTCTGCTGTACTTGTGTTATTATTTCTAATGGTAATAGGGCTTTAAAAGGTACTTAAACACCCAAAGAAGACTCGAAATGCGTGCAGAAGGTTGGCTCGGCTTCTCGCTTAGTGCCGAGGAGCCAGTCAGTCATTCGGCTCTGCTCGTGGTAGGAAGCGTTACGGCGCTTCGGTAACAAGTGAGCACTCGAGAAAGGGATTAAAACATTTCAGTGCATGTAACGTGGTGCTTGATCATCGTTGTTTGATCACATTATGTTTGCCCCAGGGAGGATAAAGCACGTCGCTTAGCAGGGGCATGTCATCCTGCAGATGTCACTGAGGACCCGGGACCATTTTAAGGCTGCTGACCCCGAGGCTGCCTCTGTAATCGTTCGGGATTTGGTCTGCAGAAGTGCTGAAGTCTGACAAAGACACTTGAAAGCGTTTTTGGACGCTGAAAGTAAATATTCAATGCAGCGTTTGAATTCAGTTCAGCACAGAAGCCTGCCTTTTCTCCTGTCAGCGTGTTCACATTTTATTTGTATCGCTCGCTGCTTAACGTGTTTGGGCATGGACCAAGACCATGCTGTGCTAAGTGCTGTGCAAATACTAGGTGAGGAAGTCCATGAAAACGCATCTAAAACTTGTGGGTTTGATTCTGAGGCAGTTGTGATTTATTATAGGAAATAAAGTGTCCGCTGCTGGACATGGGAGTGTGAACATTTCTACAGAGTAAGAAACAGATGCACCCATACCTGTGCTAGTGTTTTTGCTGCTTTGTGCTATGATTCACCATGCTGGGGTCTTTTTTTTATTTACTTAAACAAACAAACAAAATCTATGAAATTGTTTATTATTATCATTAAGCATGCAGGATTGCAGGGAAGAAAATGAGAGTTTCTGGGAGGGTTTAAGGATTCTGAGTAGGTCAGAAATAAACAAATAGCGTGCTGTGCGTGTGGTTTGCTGTCTGTTTATTTTAAAGAGATCCTGATCTTTTGGGTGTTGATGTACTGATCTGGAGGTTTTTAAATGGTGCCCTGTAGGTGGGAGAACAACTTGTTGCAGGTCTATGTTAAGACTGGTGATACGGTGTTCTCATGGTATGCTTGTGTGTATAGTGAAGCAAGTACATGTAAAATAAGTCTGTGTTGTAGTTGACAAAATCATCACTCACTGACAGCGATGTAGAACAGAAAATGAGGAGTGTGAGGAATAGCAGCCTCAAAACAAGAGAACAATACTGACTTCTAATGGCTGTTATAGCATGTTATTTATGCTTCCAGAAGCCATTACTAGCAGCAATTAGGGTCATTGGGGGTTCTTGTAAAGAAGCCATTAAAGTTCTTAATTTTTTTTCTTAATGAAGCTAACGTCAACACCATTAGGAGTAAACAGGGAAGACACTTCATTCCCTAATGTATGTGGATATTTATGTTCTCATGGTTTGTGCTAAGTGAAAGAGCAGGTGCTGGTAGAGAGCTAATTAGTTTAGGTGTTAGCCTTGAGACAGATGATCGTTGTCTTCTGTTAATGTGGGTGTTTATGTAATTGCCAGTTGCTCTTGGATCAAAAAAGAAGGGAGGGGGGAGAGATAATATTCCTTGTAGAATTAAAAAACAAAACACTCTAAATTGAATTCTTGCATATCTATTTCTTGGGATATATCTTTGACTCAAATTTAACTAATGTAACAAATGACTGTGATTTTAATCTATTGTGACGGTTTTAAAACACAGAGTGAAGTACTTCACACAGAGATTCCTCTCTCAGTCCCACCATTTGTGTTCAAGCTACATTTTATACATTTTATCTTTCTGGAAAAGCCTGATGGTTGGAAGAGTCTGCTGTTTAGATTAATCAAATACAGGAGTTAAAGTGCACTGAGCAGGTCTTCTACATTCAGACCGTCTTTTGGGGCTCCTATGCAGAAATCTGTACATGCATTTATAAATCAAAGATTGTTTTATTGCTAACAAGAAAGTAACCCTGTACCTGTGAGCTGCCAGCAGATGGAAGAGGTGTTCCCCAGGAGCTGCCCTCTGTGGCCTGGCCTGGTGCCCCACGGCGCGGCCTGCCCTGGGCCTGCCTGGCTCCTGCCTGCTGCCCCTGGCGCTTCTGCTCCATTTCGTATCGAGCAGGTGTTGCCAGCTGTGTGTTCATCTTCCCACTCTGGCAGGAGACTGAGGAAGAGAGTTTAAATATAGATGTTGTGTCTGGAAGTTGAAACTTCTAGTTATGAAACGCACTGAGTCCTTTTTCCAAGTGTGCTAGTTGCTTGTTCCTGCTGTTATTTTGGGCTAGATTTAAAGCTCTCGTGTGAGAAGCATCTGTGCTGATAAACAGTTCCAGAGATTTAGGCATACTTTTAAAAGGGAGTTAGGGACCTTGTTTAAAACAAGGAAGTTCCTCGGGTGATAACTGGGACCTTCTCTAACTGGAGCCCTGTCAGTACTGACATTCACGAACACCTCTCGGTGAAGTGCCCTGTCCCTGTAAAATGCCTTTTGAAGAGCCAACCTGTTCATTCAAAGGCTGAATGCTGCTAAATAGATCATCTATTAAGCTGGTATCTGTAAAGTTTCAAGCTGATTATTTGCTAAGCTGACAGGATATTACAGTGTGAAATAGTTTGTAACCACTCTGCAGTTAGATCATCATGCATTAAAATAAGGAAGTGTAGCTTCTTCCTTAGGTCAGTATGGTGCACTTCACAAGTAGTCAGTGTCTTCCGTCTGCTGAAAAACGTTTTTATATTTCATATTTTGAAAGAAGGAAAGATCTATTTATTTGGGATTGACTCATACTAATTTGAAGGACCATTTTTACATGGAAAGAAAAATGCTGTCTTTGTTTTTATCATGAGGAAATAAGAGTTTTATACCATTTTTATTAATTTCCATCGTTATCTCCAGAGGAATCTTCTGCTGTTGCTTACCTTTTGCTTGTGTACCATCCTGTTTTCCTGAATCACGCCGGGTAGGAACCAGGCTGTCCTGCAATGTGTCAGCTGCGGCCGGAGCTGCCAAGCCGAGGGGTGGTCAATAAAGGTATAGGAGAAAGCAATAGATTTGGTCTTTCCTTTTGCATGTGTTTTTCTTTGCTTAATAAGCATGGCATATGACAGCGTAAATATTTTGTGCTGTAGTAATACTTCCTGCATATCATCTGTAGGTTGCTACTGTAGCTGAGTATTCTCTCTTTGGAGTTACTAAAACGAAGGCAGAAAAGGTGAAGTCATTTCCTCTATGTTATGCAAAGTTTAGGTGGTTTGATCATCAGCTAGTTCTAAAAAAAAGTGTTGTAAAGAGAAGTCCCTAGAACAAATAAATTATGTTTTATATAAATAAATAAAGCAGAAAATGAGCAGACTGGACATTAAGTAAATAATGACTAAAACCTAAGGATATGTTACATTTTACTAAATGTAGGTTATGCAGACCACCTAAAATGGCAAAATTTAAGCAGAACGTGGGACTGCTGTTCCTTTTCTAATGGAGGTATTGCTTTAACTCAGTAGCTTGTAGTTATGACATGAGTTTATATTGAAATGTATCCTTCAAATAAATGTTTTTATGTAGCCTGATCTCAGTATTTTTTATTTAATATAAATCAAGCATGTGTTCTCTTCTGTGTGAGCCAGGTTGCTGATTTGTTTTGTGAAAAATGCAGCAGATTCAGGTCTGCCCTTGGTTTAAAGACGAAGCCCAAGTTGGCCCAAATGAGACCCAGGGTTGTACGTACTGCTTTTCCAAAGGGCTTCCTTGCAGCTCGAGTGTTCCTCCCTGTAGAACTGTGTCTGAACAGCTGTTCTGCAATCCTCATTTCAGCATTAAAAGTAGCTTCTGGTCTGTAGTTAGACAGAAGGAACAAACAGGGTGTGTTTAACTTCTGTTTCTTGACATAAAACTAAGCGAATATGTAACACATTGCAGTTAAACACAGAAATCACAAAGACTACCAAGGCTGTAATTAATGTCCTAAGTAAAAGAAAGGTGACGAGTGTCTTCAAATATGGCTGGCTGTTTCTGGCAACTTCCCTCTGAAGTGCCCACATGCTGTACGTATGTGTCTGCCTGCACAGTGCCGGCTGTGCTCCAGCAGCTTGCAGGGGAACTGACCGAGGGCATTTCCAGCTTCGCTCCGATGCCTCCTGCCTCGCAGTTTGCTTCAGAGTAGCTGCAGGGCTTTGTATCGTCCTCCATTCTGCATGATCCGTAAATGAGTACTATTTGACATGAGAGTTGTCTTTGATCCCACAATCAAAGGAACATATATTTCTTCTGAGATTCTCAGCAAGTGTAGTAATAAATTCTCTTTTTATAAAACTGCCTTGTAAATGACTGGTTATAAAACCATGAGTGTACTCTTGTACTGTAGCCAATATAAAAATGTTTTTAAAGGACTTTGGTTAAGTTCTAAGGTCTTAAGTATGCATGCTTTATATAAGGGAAGAAGGCACCCTCTGGAAGTGTTTTAAAGATAGATAAAAGTTACATGTAGGCTATTTCTACATTTTACTTAACACGTTACTTTTGTCTCTGGGAAAAGTTTTGTTATGACTAATAATGTTAGCATTTCAGTGAGCTGAATAAAATATTTTAGTAAAATGTAACATATCCCTAGGTTTTAGTCATTATTTACTTAATGTCCCATCTGCGCATTTTCTGCTTTATTTATTTATATAAAACATAATTTATTTGTTCTAGGGATTTCTCTTTACGACACTTTTTTTTAGAACTAGCTGATGATCAAACCACCTAGCACTGACTAATTTTTATTCAGATATAGTCTTCCATCCGTGTAACCAAAATGATGAGGCGACGAGGATGCCAATAGCATGACGAAGCACAGGAAAGGGCTGGATAATGAATACAACTGGGAAGCAGCCATCAAGTTGGATTTGAAGCACACTGAGGCACAAAGTCAGCTGAAATTAATGGAAATGGACAATAAAATCTGATCATTTTAAATGGCAGGTATTCTTAGCGCCTGGCTCACGTCAGCCTGAATCCATCTGTTACATTACTGCAGGTAGGACTTGCTGAAACAAGCTTGAGCTTAGTCAGGCAGAGGGGGGAAAAACAGATTGGGGCAAGTAGAGAGAGAATGAACTTCCTACTTGGGCTTTTCTACGTATTTACAGCTCGTTGCCACTGAACTTCCGTGGGACTGAATCAAAAAAATGAGTTCCAGTAGCAGAATAAATTTTCAGTTTCCATTTCCTCATTTGAAAGGAAGCCGGGGTATGGCTATCGCCACTTTCTCACTTCCTGACGCTTTCTGCCTGATCTTCTGCTACTCCTTTGCTGGCAATTTTAGGCAGCTGCCATGGAGGTGACTGCCATCTCACTATCAAGTTGGGTGGGGGAAGCAAACATTTATATTTTTGTGTGATACGCTTTTACTGCAATAAACTGAATAACAGAAGAGAAATGTGTGTGGGCTTTACTACTCTCTTGCCGAGAGGAGCGAGCCTGCTTGCTCTGGCTGCATAGGCAGCCGCAGTCTGAGGTGGAGCAGCAGTGCCACCAGAGCTGGAGGCCTGGCTGGGCCTGAGGAGAGCCCAGCTCTCTTCTTCCCCATGAGCAATCTGGCAGGGGACTTTTTATTGGGAAACGTCTTGTTTTACCCTCTAGAACTGAATCTGGCAGTTGCTTCAGAATCTTGTGAGCAAATTGAAATTCGGCTTTTTGTGGCCGGTTTTGATCTTTTATGAACTAGTCATATACAGTTCATGAATTTGTCTTTTTTTTTTTTTTTTTTTTTTTTTTTTTTTGTTGTTCTTCCAGTAAGGGTTTTGCATATGTACAGGAGAACACAGCTTCTTTTGGCAATGTCCTGGAACCTTAAATTGCTTTCTGCTTGCTAGTTATATAAATGTCTTCGTAAAGTATATTTTCTGAAAATACTCATCTGTGATTCTGGTGGGATTCCTATGGCATGGCTCAGAGAACTGCTGCCCCGAGGAGAGGGCAGTTCTGCTTGCTTCCCCAGGTCTGCTCCCAACCCTCCTCAAATCAGTCCTGCTGCTCATCTGACCAGCTGCTGAGCTGTTTTGGGGAACTGCATGGGCAAAAAAAGCTTTTTTTTTAATTGGATAAGCAGTTTTTTTCTTCTGAAGGAACAGAACAACCAGGAGAGAGGAAGTGGCAAGATTGTATTGCTGAACTTCTGGAGAGACAGGCAGAGACCGTTCCCTTCTCTTAGGCAGTAGCTGTGTTGTAAAACTGTGCTCCTGTTACCCAAGTAGTAAGCTGTACTTCCGCAGGCATGCTGGAAAAGTGACCTGGGCTGTATTTTGTTTTGAGGTATTGCTAGCTGAATTAATTGTTAGCCTAATTACAGGACTGCATAAGAAAGATCTTCACTCCTCTGCTTTACTTCTACAGCAGGAAATGAATGTGAAAATATTTCACTTTAGTACTTCTTAAAAAAATCTTTTTTTTTTTTTTTTCTAAGTTCCCGAGGAGCATCCTGTTTTGGATTTTGTATTTTATACTCTTTATTTTTAGTCTGCTTATTGTAATAAAGCATCAGTTACAAGCCCCCCACTCCCTTTTCTCTCAGGACACTGCGCTTTTAAAATAAGGCAGGAGATGCAACATGGTGCTATATTGACAATTGTGTTGGCACGTATTGTGATTTGGTTAAGGAAGTGCGGAGTTTAATGTAACACAACAGTATGGAACTCACAGACGTCGGAGGGTAGTCAAAACTAGGAGTTGCTCTGAGAAAGTGCGAATTTGATAGCAGTATAAACACCACATATATCTTTCAAAGAAATAGGAAAAAAACAGCGCAGTTACTTTGTAAATGTGACTTGATGTGGTTCTTACAGCGCCACAAATATGCAAGATTCCACACAGGCAATTTTATTCCCCCACGAGCTGACGCGATGATTGCATGCATGTTCAGTACTCACTTGCAGAGTTTCAGAGCGTGATTTAGGGACATCAATTGTCAGCGTGAGCAGAACTGTGCACGGGTGTTACGTTGCTTCTGGTGAGATGCAAACCAATAAACTAATAACACTGCTGGGTAATGGCGATTAAATAGGAATTCATGAATAATATATTGGAAGAATAAAGTCTCTTCCCCGCCCCCCTAAGATTCTGGATAGATTGAGGCAAGAATCAGTCTGCTCATGTTCATATACTGAATGTGTGTGTTCTGTAACTGTTGATAAAACAAGTTTAGACAGGGAATTTGGATGTAGCTGTAGCTAAACTGGTTTACCAGAGTAACTTTAAACACTTGTTTTAAATGTTGATTGAATTTCTGTCCTGTGCTCATACAGGCTGTCACGTTTTAGAAATGCATTCTGCTGTACTTATTGTTACCTGTCCTGGAAGTTTCCCTAGCCAGTGATGGTAAGGCTCTTACAGTTCTCTCTGCTGCCAAAAAAAATAAAAAAAAGTACATGTATATACAAGGAAAAAATAAATGCAATTTCTGAATTTCTGGAGACTACAGAATTTAAAAGGTGCTGTGCTTGTTTGTCTTTCTGGAAGGCTTCTCATGTCTTTCTGTGTACAGGTATCCAGGCATCATTCTTTTTGTTTGTGCATTTACAGATGGATAACCAACATTTTAAGAAGCATTTGCAAAAAAATAAAAAATAAATCATGTTGCTTAGTGGTAAATCTATGAGGAGTGTTCACTGCGGAAAGTATGGATGGGAATCAGTTAATTTATTTTGTCATTAAAATCAAGCCAAGGCGTGAGGCAGCACTTCTCCAGCACACAGTGTATTCAGCATGCTGAAAGCTAGGCTAAATTACGTAGTGAGTAGCTGGAAAGAGAATGAAGTGTTGCTGTTCTTACATGCTGGAAAACATTCTCACTAGAAATAGAGGGGATTTCAAGAGTGGGGAAAAGTGGCTGAGGGGGGAGATGGGAAATGACTTTAACTGTGGCACTGTACTCACAGAAACGGGCTCACTGTTGGCTGCAGGCAGAGGAGACCAAATTATGTTGTATAGTAATACTCTCTTGGATCTCGGTAAGGTTTTCCAAGATCCAGAGTCAGGCTGGATTAGCACTAACACTGAGACAGAGACTCTGGAGGTACCAGAAGGGGGAAGGCCACATATCTCTTCTGGAAACCTGGCATGATTCAAAAGCTCTTGCCTGCACCTACCCATTGCATTGGAGACCAAAATGGTCACAAATGTTGCCTTGAGTTGCGGAGACATGAGCCCACGCTTAGAGCAAAGCTCTAGCGGTAGGCAGAGGAGCTGTGTGGTCTCAGCGTGAACAGCCCCATCTTTCTTTTCAGTGTCACGGTTGAATTTAGTAAGTTCTCTTGTGTGCTAGTTGGTGGTTAAACGGCCTGATTTGAGCCCTGTGTGCAGATTAGCGGTTAGCAGTGTTTGTGCCCACCCTGTAGGTGAGTGATGCAAGGCTTTCAGGGCATGAAGGAGGGTCTGGGCTGTGCCTCCCCAGGCTCCCTCACAGAGCCCAAACCTTGGAACAGCGGCCCTGGGCCGAAGGTCAGCGTGACTTGCTGTGTCTGGGGAAAGGGAGCTGCTTGGGAGGCCCGTCCAGCAGGACCACTTCACTCCTGCAGGCCAGGGGTACCTGGCAGCCACAGGGACACTGAGCTGGTTGTGGGGGGACTTTGTAAAGGTTTTCAGGTGATGCTGGAGATTGCTAGTTAGTGCAAAACCAACTATCCTGTGTGCTGTTCCCTGGGTCTCCCTTCTCTGGGGTATCCTCTGGGGATCCGGTCGACGCTCTGTAGGGCTCCTGTGTCTCTGTACTCCACACCCCTCAGTGCAGGCTTTTCTTTGCTCTGCCCTCTGAGAAGGATCCCGGCAGGTCTCGATTCTCTTACCGTGCCCTCAGCTGCTGGTTTGTGACTCTGGTCAGGCACAAACCCTTGGGTGGGCTGTTGCGTGGTTACCTCGCGGTTTGAGTTTAGACCTGAAAAACTGGTTTTTATAAGCACTAACCACCTGTTCTGTTAGGGAACGGCCGTGTAATTGTGGACGGTCTTTAATGATGTCTTGTTCAGCAGTGGAGGCTGAGCGCCGCTCCTCCCTCTGTAGTGCAGTACAATCCATCCTTCTAACTGGGTTCAGGTTCTTGAACAAAAAGTTACCTATGAACAGTTAGAAATGTCCAGCTGACCTTCAGAATATGGATATTGGTTCCCTGGGTAATCAAGAGGAATCCGTGGTTGCAGAGCTGTATTTTACATCTTTGTTCTTTCTCCCTCTTCAGAAGTGCGTGCAGCCGGGCTACCTGTATGGCTTCTAACGCTGCCGTCACGGAGCAGCTAGGTAATTACAGCTCTGGTAGTTTTTAGCCAGTAATTGGGCTGGTAACTGGTCTGCATTCAAACCTAAGAGGATGACTGCACACAAAGTTGCCGAGGAACTAGTTATAATGCCTCAGTTATTACTCGAGTGTATTATTATCCTATATAAGGTAAAAGTGAGACAGTTTTTTCTACTTTCGTATCCAGGAGGATGTAGTTTGTACATTAGCATTTGCTATGAGAGATTTTACACGCTATTAATCCCCAAATTTTAATTGATCTACTAATAACTTATTCATGTAACTATGCAATTAGTTTCCTTTACCGTGATAATCTTAAAATATACATATTTAAAATCTGGACAATCTGATACTTTGGACAGACTGCAGAACATAGAAACTACATTGTATGCCTTGTGATTTGAAGTAAGACCCCATGTACTACCCATGGACTGTTATGGCCTATTGATTTTTTTTTTCTATGTTGAGGTATAGGATGCAAAAGCAGGCAACAGTGATATTTGCCCACCTGTCCTTTCTCTTTTAAAATAAATATACAAAGAGTATTTTACAAGATGATAACCTAGGGGTTGAGGGAAACACCCTCCTTGCAGTATTGCCAAATGTCACTTCTGAGTTTTTTGTTGTTGTTGTTTTTTTTTTTTAAAGCATTTTAATACTGTAAGACTCATCTTGCTCTTCCCTTCTCAATTTTGATCTATTTTTGGCCTAAATTTAGTTTTTCTCTGCAGTCAAGTGCTAAAAGCTTG